TATGTACACCCATGAATATTTTTCAAAGAAATTCCTAGAAATAGAACTAATTGAACCCAATTTCAAGCTAATAATAGAAACCACAATACCATCAATATATAATGACAAGTATTCCTGCAGCATACTGTGTATCAGGTACTCTATCTATACTTTATATTCACAATGATCTTAGGAGATGAATATCATGCCATCCTTATTTTAAAAAGTGAAGAAAGTGAGGCTTGAGATTTATCTCTCAGAAAATGTGACAGATCAGGGATTCAAACCCAGGTGTATTTCTATAAGCCATGCTCTTTCCGTTACACACAGAAAGGGGAATTCCCTCACTGTGCCACATAGGGTTTTCACTAAAACAATTTGAACTCAGGGAATCATAGAATGCAATACTGAGAGGAGCCACAAAAGTTCTTAAACTCAGTCCTTATCTGATACCAGTCACCCCTTCAACATTTCCTATATTTAACCTTGATTTAGTTATCTTTAAAGACAAACTCCCTCTTTTCCTAGACATTTTACTTTTACACTACTCTTAACAACAAAAAAAATCACTTTTTATTCTGAACTGAAAATTGTGTCCTTTTAGCAACCAAGCACCAATGCTACATTTAACCAAGAGGCCACAAAGATATTATCCATTCTCCCTATTATGTGACAGCCCTTCCCATGTGTCATCTATTCCCCTTGCCCTACTGACACCTTTAACTATTCTTCCTACCTTAGACCACTGAGTTTCCTCACCACTGGGAAGACTTCTCCTGACCATACTCCAGGGCTGTGGATCTTTCAACAAAGCCAGGCATCAGCTGTGAAACCAGCAGGGCCATGCCTGAGACTAAAGAACATGATCCAGAGCAAGGCTTACTCTAGACCTATCCTAATAATGCCCAAAACCAAGTTCTGGCAAGATCTTCAGAGGATAGAGTTTAGAAGTTGAGCCCTATGGGACTAAAAAGCAGAGCACAAAGAATAGAGTCAATGATACTGTAATAGCTATGTAATGGGACAGATCTAGCTATACTTGTGGTAAACACAGCATAATGTATAAACTTGTCAAACCACTGAGTGGTACATCTGAAACTAATATAATACTGTCTGTCAAGTATAATCAAGAAAGAAAGAAAGGAAGAAAGGAAGAAAGGAGGAAGGAAATTAATTAATTAATTAATTAATTAATTGAATCTTGCCCCTGAAGCCATAAGAATCCTAGAAGAAAACATAGACAGTAATCTCCTTGACATCGGTCTTGTAACAATTTTTAAATCTGACTCCAAAAGCAAAAATAAACAAGTGAGACATCAAACTAAAAAAAGTTTCTGCACAGCAAGGAAAAACATCAACAAAATGGAAAGTCAACCTGCTGAATGGGAGAAAATATTTACAAATCATACAAGTAATAAGCCGTTAATATTCAAACACCACCGGGGATCCCTGGGTAGCACAGCGGTTTGGCGCCTGCCTTTGGCCCGGGACATGATCCTGGAGACCCGGGATCGACTCCCACGTCAGGCTCCCTGCATGGAGCCTGCTTCTCCCTCTGCCTGTGTCTCTGCCTCTCTGTCTCTCTCTATGTGACTATCATGAATAAATAAAATCTTTTAAAAAAAAAAAGATTAAAAAAAATATTCAAACACCACCAAAATATCATACAACTTTACCACCAAAAAAAAAAAAAAAAACAAACAAACAAACAAAAAAACCCAAACAATTAAAAACGGGCAGAGGACTTGAATAGACATTATTGCAAAGAAGGCATCCAAATGGGCAGTCATATGGAAAAATGCTCAGTATCACTAATCTTTAGGGAAATGCAAATCAAAACACTATGAGATATCACCTCTCACTTGTTAAAATGGTTAGAATCAAAGCCAAGAAATAACAAGTGCTGGTGAGAACATGGATAAGAGAGAACCCTGTGCCTTGTTAGTGAAATGCAAATTGGTACAACCACAATGGAAAACAGTGTGGAGGTTCCCCAAAAAATTAAGAACAGAACTATGATGTGATCCAACAATTTTACTTCTGGGCATTCATCCCAAGAAAACAAAAAAAACCAATTTCCAAAAGATACATGCACCCCTACATTCATTGCATTGTTAATCATAGCCTAGATGTGGAAGCAACCCAAAAGTCTACTAATAAATGAATGGATCAAGAAATTGTTGGAAAAATATTCCACGCTCATGGATTGGCAGAATTAATATTGTGAAAATGTCAATGTTACCCAGGGCAATTTACACGTTTAATTCAATCCCTATCAAAATACCATGGACTTTCTTCAGAGACTTAGAACAAATTATTTTAAGATTTGTGTGGAATCAGAAAAGACCCCGAATAGCCAGGGGAATTTTAAAAAGGAAAACCATAGCTGGGGGCATCACAATGCCAGATTTCAGGTTGTACTACAAAGCTGTGGTCATCAAAACAGTGTGGTACTGGCACAAAAACAGACACATAGATCAATGGACCAGAATAGAGAATCCAGAAGTAGACCCTCAACTTTATGGTCAACTAATATTCTATAAAGGAGGAAAGACTATCCACTGGAAGAAAGACAGTCTCTTCAATAAATGGTGCTGGGAAAATTGGACATCCACATGCAGAAGAATGAAACTAGACCACTCTCTTTCACCGTACACAAAGATAAACTCAAAATGGATGAAAGATCTAAATGTGAGACAAGATTCCATCAAAATTCTAGAGGAGAACACAGGCAACACCCTTTTTGAACTCGGCCACAGTAACTTCTTGCAAGATACATCCACGAAGGCAAAAGAAACAAAAGCAAAAATGAACTATTGGGACTTCATCAAGATCAGAAGCTTTGCCACAGCAAAGGATACAGTCAACAAAACTCAAAGACAACCTACAGAATGGGAGAAGATATTTGCAAATGACATATCAGATAAAGGGCTAGCTTCCAAGATCTATAAAGAACTTATTAAACTCAACACCAAAGAAACAAACAATCCAATCATGAAATGGGCAAAAGACATGAACAGAAATCTCACAGAGGAAGACATAGACATGGCTAACACGCACATGAGAAAAATGCTCCGCATCCCTTGCCATCAGGGAAATACAAATCAAAACCACAATGAGATACCACCTCACACCAGTGAGAATGGGGAAAATTAACAAGGCAGGAAACCACAAATGCTGGAGAGGATGTGGAGAAAAGGGAACCCTCTTACACTGTTGGTGGGATTGTGAAATGGTGCAGCCACTCTGGAAAACTGTGTGGAGGTTCCTCAAAGAGTTAAAAATAGACCTGCCCTACGACCCAGCAATTGCACTGCTGGGGATTTACCCCAAAGATACAGATGCAATGAAACTCCGGGACACCTGCACCCCGATGTTTCTAGCAGCAATGTCCACAATAGCCAAACTGTGGAAGGAGTCTCGGTGTCCATCGAAAGATGAATGGATAAAGAAGATGTGGTCTATGTATACAATGGAATATTACTCAGCCATTAGAAATGACAAATACCCACCGTTTGCTTCAACATGAATGGAACTGGAGGGTATTATGCTGAGTGGAATAAGTCAATCGGAGAAGAACAAACATTATATGGTCTCATTCATTTGGGGAATATAAATAATAGTGAAAGGGAATAGAAGGGAAGGGAGAAGAAATGTGTGGGAAGTATCAGAAAGGGAGACGGAATATGAAGACTCCTAACTCTGGGAAACAAACTAGGGGTGGTGGAAGGGGAAGAGGGAGGGGGGTGGGGGTGAATGGGTGACGGGCACTGAGGGGGGCACTTGACGGGATGAGCACTGGGTGTTATTATGTATGTTGGCAAATTGAACACCAATAAAGAAATTGTTGCATATACATATATACACAATGGAATATTATTCAGCCATAAAAAGAAAGGAATCTTGCCATTTACAACAATATGGATGAATCTTGAGAACATTATGCTAAGTGAAATAAGTCAGAAAAAAACAAATACCATATGATCTCACTTGCATGTGGCATCTAAAAAATAAACAACAAAACAAAATAAACCAAGTTCATACATACTGAGAACAGACTGGTGATTGTCAGAGGGGTGGTGGCCAGGGCATGAGTGAAATGGGTACAGGGGTCAAAAGGCACAAATTTCCAGTTATAAAATAAATAAGGCATGGGAATATAATGTACAGCATGATGACTACAGTTAATAATACTGTATTGTGGGGCACCAGGGTAGCTCAGTGGTTGAGCATCTGCCTTGGCTCAGGGCTTGATCCTGGGGTCCTGGGATCAAGTTCTACATCCAGCTCCCCAAAGGAAGCCTGCTTCTCCCTCTGCCTATGTCTCTGCCTCTCTGTCTCTGTCTCATGAATAAATAAATTTTTAAAATAATTTTAATACTGTATTGTAAAAAATGATAATAATATTTCATTGTATATTTGAAAGTTGCTAAGGAAGTAAATCTTAAAGCATTCATCAAAAGAAAAAAAATTTTGAAGTATGTATAGTGACAGATAATAACCAGACTTATGGTAATCATTTTGCAATACATACACCTATTGAATTACAATGTTGTACAACATCTGAAATTAATGTTATTTTTAAACTAATATAATGTTATACGTCAATTACATCTTAGTAAAAAACAAATTTAAAAATAAATAAATAAATTGAGCCTTGCCCAAGGGAAAGGCACTTGGGAAACATTCCGGGCTTTCCACCAATCTCTAACAAGATAGAAAGACAACAAATGAAAAACTCACTGGAAGGACAGGTCTTAAGAGCAGATTGAAGATGGCAAAGGAATCAGGTGGAGACAAATGGATAAAACTTAAGATCAGAGAGGGGAGAAAAAGTAAACCAATGATTCCAAAATATTTTTTTTCCCAAAAATCTATTCTAATGCATATGCTATCCTGCCTTCCTCTGGTGATGTCTCTTCCTTTCAAGGAAGCCATAGATTCCCTTCACATACAAAGGCTGGTGGGTCGCATAGCCTATATCCCAGAATCCACAGGCTGTTGGGGGGAACAGGACTTACCTGTCTGGAGATCCCATAGCGCACAGGGCCAGTTCAGGGCTTCCAAAGGCTGCTGAAACAATATGAAACATGGGCCTTTAGAGTCTGTATTCCCGAAGCCTCTTTGGATCTTGGGCGAATGAAAAAATTTAGGGTTCCAGACAAGAATCTGAATGAGAAATAAGCAGCTGAGTGTACTCCTTGGTCCTGAGCACGGACAATATGCGGACTCCCACGCAGGACAAGGACATCATGAGAATCCATAAGACCAACACCACAAAGATGTCTGCACTCGAGAATTGTACACCACACCGATGCCCATGAGTGAACAAAGGTTCAAATCAATTCAAATCTGTTGAGCATCTGCTACATTTCAGGCACTGTTCCGCTGACCCTGCGACGACAGACATAAATGGTGCCAGCCATCAAAAACCTGTCTGGGCTTACAAAGAGCCCATCGAGAACATGCCTTTGCAGGAACCCCGAGGCCCGGTGGGCATGCACCAGCTCCTGGTGAACACAGGCACCATCCCCACCTCTGAGCTCCTTCAAGCATGCCAGTGATGAAGTTCAGGGTCAGCCGGGTCACCACAGTCCCCGTGGAGGCCAAGAACCCGGCCGCCCCGCCCAAGCTGGTGAAGGGGCTCCAACGGCTAGCGCCCCACCGCAACCCCACCAAGAGCATCATCACGGACTCAGCGGGGCACACCCTGGCGCGTGCCGATGAGCTGCACCCGGATACGCTTGAAAAACCCTGAGGAAGCCCAGACATCTGCATCTCTATCAAGAAATCCAACACGGTTGTCTTGTGCCTCGAGACAGTCAGCAAGGCGTCGAACGTGTGGGGCCAGCTCCAGTCGCACCAGGAGCAAGTGACTGCGCGGAAGGCGCCGCCCCTCCCCGACGGCTGGCCGTGGACATCAAACCTGAGGTGTCTGCCAGCCAGGAGCTCAAGCAGCGGGCCCGCTACAGGCCGAGAGCACGAGAAGGCTTCGCCCAAGGCCTACAAGCCCTGACGCCAGGCCGCGATAACCTCCCTCGGCAGGCGCACGCAGCACCTCAACCCGGTCGCTGGCGACGGCGCAATGGCGGCCCCCAATGGGCCTGAGTGGAGGGAGCACGTGCTTCAACGTCGGCGACGGGACGCCGCGCGCCGCACGCCGCACGCCGCACGCCGCACTCTGCACATGGCACGCAGACGGCCTCCCGGGGCCATCTCACGCCGCGCTGCCTCTACGTCAGCACGCTGACGACGCAGCTCCTGCTGGTGGAGCCCGTCTGCCTCGTGGAGGCCCCGCGTCTACCTGATCGCTAGCGAGGCCTTGGGAGGGCAGCCTTGCCTTCCCCCGCCACACGTGCGACCACTGCCAGGCAGATCCTGCCCGAAGACCCCTCCCACAGCACCAGCGGGTGGCGGCGGGGACACACAGGTGCACAGGCCTGGTGGAAGGCATCCTGGCCCCAAACAGCTTCCTGAGCAGCTTGTACTCCACGCGCCCCCCACGGCAGCCCCGGGGCGGTGGGCAGAACACCGCGTGGCACCCGCTCGCCGACTCCCACAGCGACAAGCCCAGCACGCCTGCCCACACTATGCACATGCAGGGACGCCCTCCCTGCCATCGCTCCTCCTTAATGCTTGATGCCATGTCCTTCAATACTGATTTCAGGATTTCAGAGGCGACAGAAATGCCCTCACCAATGGGGGTAGGGGAAGGGATGCAACACCCAACACTTTTTTTTTTTTCCATTTCGTCAGAGGGAACTCAAATGTCAGATACATACATACATACATTGACAGATTGATTTGGGTCAACCTGATTTGGGATGTTCCCCACCTCCAGAGAAGGAACCTCTGAGGGAACTCAAATGTCAGATACATGCATACATACATACATACATACATGCATACATGCATACATACATACATACATTGACAGGTTGATTTGGGTCAGTGGATGTTCCCCACCTCCAGAGAAGGAACAAGCAGGTAGACATTTCTCGTTGAACAGAAACCAGAAGGCAGGAAATCTTACACAATGAAAAAAAAAAAAAAAAGTCTTACACAATGTCCCCATGAGCATCTCCAGTTGTGTTGATGCCACTGGAATAATAAATTTTATATGTGATGACAAACGAATCCGTCTAGAGAAGTGAGATAGGTAAATAGGCAACATAGCCTGTAAGTGATACAAATGACACAGAAGGTTCTAAAGCAGCACCGAGGAAGGAGTGATTAACTTGGTGTTGGGGCAGAGTATCTCTCTTTTTTTTTTAAGATTTTTTTTTTATTTGAAACAGAGAATGCACAATGGGGGGGGGGGGGGTTGCAAGGGAGAAGGAGACTCCTGGTTGAGGAGGGAGCCCCATCCAGGTCTCAATCCTAGGACCCTAGTATCATGACCTGGGCAGAAGGCAAGAGGTTTAACCAACTGAGTCATCCAAGTAGCCCCAAGACAGACTTTCTCATTCATTCCAAAAGCATTTCCTGGATACATATGCACTGCAATGCATCAAATCCTGGACAAATACATTTTCCAGCAGAGAGGAAAAGAGATGTTTCAAGCAGAAAAGATCACATACCTAAATAGATGTCTGAAAGATTATGGTGTCTTTGAAGAACTGTAAGACATTCCAAATCATGGAGAATAAAATTTGAAAGAAAAAAAGCAGCAGATGTGGCCGAGGTATGCAATAACTCAATACTATGTATTGAATGCAATAATTCATATGTATAGGGTTTGATAATTCACAGTAAGTGCAGGAAACAGCATAAGTAAGTTTTGTGGAGGCTTAAGCCCAGACAGTGTTTGTATATATTAAGTGCGTGATAAAAGTTAAAACTTCTAGCAGCATTTAAGTGCTTATACCACAGAAATACTTAACCTTTCTGGCCTCAGGCTGCAACCTTCCTGCAGGGATAGGAGTTGGGGGAAGGTATTAAGGGGGGTCAGTGAATCACCTTTCTCTCCTTCAGGCTGAAGGACACTCAACTGGTGCCTCTTCCCCACCCAGAAGTCCAACCCAGGGCTGGGACCAGTGCCCATCCATATAAAACAGCGTAGCTACTTCTTTTACTAACTTCCCCACCTGCTCTGAACTCCACTGGGAGATTTAGATTACTCTTTTTCTGAAAGATTCATGTATGACTCAAAGCAGTAAGGAGTTGGAGACAGAAATTATGCCTTTTTTAAAAAAAAAAAGTTAACATTTTTATATTTCAAGAAGGAGAACAAGACCATGTTTGGGGCTTTTAAGAAGTATCTCTATGAAGGCTCATTCCCTTCCTAACTCTTCCTCTGTCTCCTTATCTTCCTGCCTTCCCCTCTCTTTGGGCCTTACTCCTCCCTGTCTCTGTCTCCTTCCCCTTTCTATCATTCCCTACTATTCCTACCAGGATGTAGATAGAGCCCTTGTTCCAGCCATTTCATAAGTAAGGAATCTTCTGCAACTTCCGGTTTTAGCTGGATGCCAGTGGGAGCTTTTTCTGACGCCCCCTCCCCCAACACTTCCATAAGCCCTGTTCTGTAGGGTGCATTCTTTTGTGGAAGAGACATGCCAAGAGGGTGCTTCACCTCCAAAGGGCCTGCTTCCACTTTGCTTTCTGATGTTCTTTAAAGACAGACTTTATGAGAGTAGTTTCTTCCAAAGGTTAACCTGTCTAATCTACATAAAGTGTGTGTTCTCTTAATATAGCTTTAACCTTGTTCTTGTAAGTAACACTAGATCTCTTTCCTTGCCAGATTTTCATTAAGGCCTTTCTTTTTTTTTTTTTTTTTTTTTTTTTTTTTTTTTTTTGGCCTTTCTTGATTAACTGAAAAATCACTCTGCCTGGATCATCTGAGACAATGGCACTGTACGCCAATAGTTTGTTCCACATTGCCATGTTTCTTCCTGATAAAAGTGTAAGAAATGTGTGTGTGTGTGTGTGTGTGTGTGTGTGTGTGTTGGGATAGGTAGAATGTGACATTGTTTATTGCACCAGATATGTAAGTATTTATTTGAAATTTGATGAATAATCCCTTTTCTCCATCTCCATTGAGAACCGGAAAACCAGAGAGAGGCTTGCATTGTCAAAAGAGATTTCAGTTAACCACTCAGCATAAGAAAAGACATATCCAATACTTAGAGACTATTATCATTCTTACAAAAAGTGAATCTCCACAGGGGACTTTAGGATGGGCTGGTCTAGGTAGAACCTACCTCTTCCCAGGCTTAGTTTGTGGCCCCTCTTGGGGAAGGAAAGCTAACTTGAGTGCCCTCTCAGTACAGCCTTGAACTGATTCTAGAAAACATGGTTGCAGCTTCTTTTTCCTATCTGCTCCAAGCCTTAAATATGTGTTCTTCTCCTATGCAGATCACCACACAAATGCAACATCCCTTGGAAATACTGAGGCTAAGGCAGGAAGGATACATTGTTTATGATTTCCTCTTGTTTCTGGCTGAATTAAGCACTTATTTCTGCTGTCATTGGAGGCAGCACTCAGAGCAGCCCCATTCTCTTGAGTCAGTACTACCAGTCTTAAAATGACAAATGGAAACACACCAGAGGACAGATGTCACTTGCCAGAGTGAAATAACTAGAATAACTGAAAAAAAACCAGAACTATTTTAGGTCACTATTCTTCCTGAATTACTGCTTCTGTTTTATTACAGCTTAATTTGTTTTTTAAGGTGAGACAATTTTTGTTAATCCAGCAATCCCACTTTGGGGAATTTGATAGCAATAAAATCACCTTACTATCAGGATGCATGTCAAAATTGTTTAATGCAGCATTATTTATAGGATGAAAAAGTACATTTTTCTTTCTTTTACATTAGTTTGCTGCTTGCTAGATTTAGAAGGGAAAGTTAATAGAGAACATAATTTGTTTTAATAATGAGAATAGCAGGGGTGACCAGGAAAAAAAAAAAACTTCAAGATGACATTATGACTCAGTGAACTAGTTATTAGTTATCATTTTATTGTGTAACTTGGCCATTCAACAAGAGGCTAATATATACCGGAACTGGCATCAGGAAATATCTGGCATGATGCAAGTCTTTGTTTTCCTTTAGACAAGGAAGAAGTCTTCA